GGGGGGGTGTATAATATGCCAGTTTCTACACCCTAATGAGTCAAAGTGTTTTGGGAAACTTGTGCGGCCCGTCGGGTTAAGGTGTCCGGGTACTCCCCCCGGGGGGCAAGAAGACACATTTAGTGATTTAGTGAACAATAAACAGTTGGTTTTAACTGGTTTTCCTTCTCCAATGGCCTCTGCGCGTGCTGTGGCCGTTGCCGCCTCTAGTGTCCAGTATTGTTCATTTTGGCTCCCTAATGGCGGACGGCAGGCAGTGCTGTTTTCCGCTGGGGGTTAGGAAGGGGGGGGGGGGCTTGTGAAATTACCGGCGTTTATACCCAGTGTTTACGGTTATACGGAAACCCCCCCCCCCCCCTTTCCCCCGAGGGACTCACGTAAACACGATGCGGGAATTTTGTTTGCGCCTTGTGTTTATGACACAGTATTTTACGACAGTTCGTGTCATTTACGTAGCGCAAGAGGGCGCTCCTTGTGGTGGCACGTGGGTACTTTTCCACTGATTGCGCCACAGGGTGGACTGCGCGAGACGAGGGGCAACTTTCCAATTAAACCCCCTACGGCGTCACAGGTATCATACAAATCGGGCTGTTTTTTAAATTCAGATTGCCGGCATGTTTTGGTGATTTGAGACTGAGTGTCACACTGATCTGTTATTTTACATGTTTTAATGCGAGTAAATTGTGATTTTTCGTTTAACAATGGCGCATGCGCTCCTCCCCCTTTGAAACCGCCGCTAATCCAATGGCTGTTTGCGCCAGGAAGAGAGCACAGGGGTGTGGGAACGGAACGGAACAGGCTTGGACCACGTTTCTGCTTGATCCCCAAAACTTGGAACCACCTCCATTTATTTATTTGTGGAAAAGCTGCGCGAGCTCAGGTAGTTTTGTGCTTATTGTTCTTGATTTAAAGTTTTTGGATTCTGCTCTCCATAGGGAGGAGGTCGAGGGATATTTAGCCGGACTTAGTGCTGTTGTGGTCCGGTGGTTAACAGCCAAGGACACGGACACACTTTGTCCTTTTTAAGTGCTCATTTTTCCCACATTTCAGAGAGATCATCAACACAACAGTCAGGTTTTTTTAGTTTGCATCCAGGACTGCGCATTACGCATCACTTCTCAGCGACATAAGCCTTTTATATAATACTAATAATCTGTTTTTTATTTCAATATATAATTAGTCTCTGTCTGCGCCAGTTGCGCAAACAGCAGCTGCATGCATCCAACCTTGTGACCTGCTTGAGGGGGGTGGAGGAAAAAAGAAATGGATGTCAACTTGCGTAAAAGCTGAGGTAGATGAGCACCTGATGTAAGGTGAGGATGTGGTTCTGGCGCAGATTATTTGCAGTGTTTTGTTGCACGGATACAAGCCCCTTCCTCCTCCTCCTCCTCTCTCCGTCCACCTGGTGTTGACGTTAAGAGGCAAAAGGTTGCATGTCGGAGCTCATTAATGTGGGACACCCCCCGTTTCCGCTTCTCTTCATCCACGTGAACGCAGCTCTGCATTGCAGAGTCTTTGCACATAGATTCTCCCTCCTGTTGGGTGTAATATCAAGAGCTGGGATGCATTTATCTTGCAGCTTTTTATTTGAGGGGGGGGGGGGGGGTTGCACATGGAGAAAGGTGTCCTCAATATTTTGGACACCAGACAGACACTGTCTCTCTCTTCTTAAATACAAGTTTAAAGTCACTATTTGGAATCTCATCCTGTTTGTTTTTTTTTTTGTTGTTTTTTTTAACAGTCCAGAACGGCTCATTGATCTTGAATGTGACGCTGTTTTGGGCTGCTACTTCCTGTCACGTGGTCACAGTGAGCTTCCACCTCCAGCCTCAGTGGTTTACAGTCTCTCTGCTGTAATAGTGCATGCAGTGTGTTCGTTATTTATAACAGTAGAGACCTGGATGAACTTCCACATGACAATAGAGAAAAATAGGCAAATGTACAAAACATGTTAGCATATTGACATCTTAATTGCATTAAAACATTAAATACTTTAGAGCTGGAAGTGATAGAATGGAAAGATGACACATTATTATTATTATTATTATTATTATTATTATTAGTAAAGCACATTTCTTTTAATGTTCGCTTTAGAGGTTTCTTCAGTAGTGATGCAGCCTGTTTCCAGTGGTCAGTAATGCTATTTAAACCCCGTCTGTACCTTTAAACTTTAATCTTTAAAGTATGCATGTTATAAAGATTCTGCGGTTTGGATTTTGAACGTATGATCTGATCGTAGAACGCTGTTGTGTTTACTCTTTGGTGAATAGTTATATTTGTCATTGAGGATCTAGTTCGTAGCATCGTTGAGAGCAAATATCTCGTTAAATATCTTCCAGTCAGTGTCATCACCTCATGCGTGTTGTGTTGTTGTGTTGGCTTTAAGTTTTTAGTACGGATGCTTTGTTTTGAACATAAATACTGTTTTTTTTTGGTGCAGACCGATATACGTCCGTAGTTTAGGAAACGTTAACGTACAGAAAGCTGGCGTCAGACTTGTGGTTTCATTTGTAATGTTTTCCAATTTTAGACATTTAAGTTCTTGTACGTGTGTTCAAATAACGATCAACATTTGGGAGTTTTTCCTCTTTATCTCAAATTAATGGCTTTGGTTTAACCAAATGGCACTATAGTATTTAAACATCTTAGATTATACTCAGGACTATTGCATTGTGTTTGAGGTATTTGTTATTTCTGTATTTGTCACTTAACTCTTGATAGAAGTGGAGATATACAGAAGCTTTTATAGCTTATATAACTATAAGGGAGCACAATGTCCCAAATAAATAGTATTAAGAAAAAGAAAGTTGTAAAATACAAATAAATCCCCAATCAGCTCATCTGTTTCCTCTGAGACTCTCATTGGATGCACCCCCCCCCCCCCCCCCCCACCCCACAGTGGCCGGGGGCCAAAATGGCCGCCGTAATGTCGTCAGTCCAGTGACGTGTCTCTGAACGCTGTGTTCAGGTGCGCTCTCTCTCTGTGTGTGTGTGTGTTAATCCGGTATCACACCAGATGTAGAGCAGGAGAACCAGTCCCTGTGGGGGGGGGGGGGGGGGCTCTCCGTCACCACAGCAACCAAGGCGTAGCTTCATCAGTTGCTGTGGGCAACAAGATAGAAGCTGTGTGGAGCGACACGGAGGGAGGGAGGTGAGAGGAGGTGAAAGATGGCAGGTGAGACATTAGCTGCCATCTTTCATGGTGGTTTACTGTGGTGGAAAGACCAAAACTGTCCTTCAACTAGTGGAAAGATAACAGGGGAGAGGAGGAGAAGGAGGTGAAAGATGGCGGAGGAAGTGAAAGATGGCAGGTGAGAGAAGGAGGAGAAAGATGGCAGGTGAGAGGAGGAGGAGGAGAAGGAGGTGAAAGTGAAAGATGGCAGGTGAGAGGAGGAGGAGGAGGAGGAGGAGAAAGATGGCAGGTGAGAGGAGGAGGAGGAGGAGGAGGAGAAAGATGGCAGGTGAGAGGAGGAGGAGGAGGAGGAGAAAGATGGCAGGTGAGAGGAGGAGGAGGAGGAGAAAGATGGCAGAGGAGGTGAAATATGGCAGGTGAGAGGAGGAGGTGAAAGATGGCAGGTGAGAGGAGGAGGTGAAAGATGGCAGAGGAGGTGAAATATGGCAGGTGAGAGGAGGAGGAGGTGATTGACAGGTCTCTTCAAATATCTGACACCCTCGGCAAATATAACCCAAACTATTTGCATGTCAGGAGCTAATATATCTGTTGAAGTCACCGCCTAAAACCAGCCCGTGTTGACATGGAAGAAGAGGTGTTGGCTAACAATGACAATGAGGGGTCTATGTGGGGGGGGGGGGGCTCTGGGGATACCTGCCTCACCTGTGTGCAGCTGCCATGAGATAATTGGGTGATTTGGTTTAACCGGCTCTTGTTTCTTTGTTTTGCCAGGTGGTTGCCTTAGCAATGGACGGGGAGCCAGAACCAAACCCTGCCGAAGAAGAAGAGGCAGCAGGGGAGCGGGTGGAGCCCATGGACGCCACTCCCTCCCCCGTGCCACCGACCGCATCCCCCACGGAGGAGGAGGCTGGGGAGGCAGTTTCCATGATAACAGAAGAAGAGGATGAAGCCACAAAGGAGGAGGGTGGCGTGGAGGACGATGACGATGTGGTTCTCGTAGGGGAGGAGGAGGAGGAGGAGGAGGAGGAGGAGGAGGAGGAGGATCAGCCTTCTGCCACAACAATCCCCCAAGACACGCCCAGCACAGACTGCCGAGAGCCGGCCGAGACAGCGGACATGTCGGCGGCAAAGTCCACCCCGGCTTCTCCCGCAGCGTCCCCCGCCAAACCTCCCGCCACGGAAGCGGAGCCCATCGTCATCGATGACGAGGAGGAGGACTCTGAGCAGAGAGACCCCGGAGAAGGAGGCTCCTCCTCCTCCTCCTCCTCCGAAGGGTCCCGCTCGCCGGCCGCACTCAGCAGCACCGAGCAGGATTCGGAGATCAAGATTGCCAGCGTCACCACGCTGGGCTCCGGCACACAGAAGGGAGGCTCCGCCGATGGTTCGCCGCCGCATCCGGTGGACGTCCAGGAAGACATGACGCTGGTGATCACCTCGGTGACCTCACTGCAGGACGGAGCGGCGGCGGTCACGGAGGTGAGAATCTCCACTTTTTACTTTTAACCTGTTCTTTGGTTGTTTTTCTTAAGTTATATATTAATGATGTTTTTAGAGATACACAGAGGGCAATTTTATTTTATGTTTTATTTCATTTAACCTTTATTTAACCAGGCGAGTCAAACATTTTGTTTCCAATGTTTTTGTCACTTAGGATTTAAAAACAAACTAACCGAAGCCACTTGTGTGTCTAGGACGGTGAAGTGCATGTGGAGGAGAACGGTCTGCAGATCGGCAGCACGTTCAGCCTGAATCCAGACACCCCGTCTGGTCGACCCACCGCCTCCTTCAACCCCGGGAGGGGCTCCGGGCCCGTGGGCCAGCTGGTTCAGAACGGAGACACGGGGACGCACAACAGAGCAGGTAACACATTTAACTTGAGGATGGTGCTCTCGGGTAAAGTGGAAGCAGACCACATGTTCCTGTTTACGGTCTCATATTTATGTTTTTCACTTTGAGGAACTCGCTCCTCCCCTCCTGGTTGTTTTCACGTGACTCAGGTGGTGTCTTTGCTCTGGGAAATGCTGCTGTTTCACCTCATGTTTGAGGAAAGGCGCTGCCGTTTCTGAGAGCTCTGCCTTTTTTGTGCGTTGGCTTCGAGAGCTTTAAGTTGAAAATCTCTGGAACTTTTCAGAAAAGCGCTGTTGCTGTAGTAAAATTAAGCAGAAGCTTGTGTTGGCTGTCTGTCTGTCCGTCCTAAACTTTATATTTCGGACAGACGCTATCTTAACAAAGACCGAAAAGCCCTTTTAGGAGCTTATCGGTCGGGTGGGTTTGAATGTTTGTGGTGAGTTCTTGCCCTAACGTTACGTTATGACGAGCTCATCAATACGAAGTATGAAGCAGACATCCTCCGTTTGATGCTCATGGGCAAAAGTGTTCTGAGGAAAGAAATGCATTAATCACACAGCGAGCAGCAGTGGATGTAAACATACTTTATGTTTGTTTACAAGAAAACCTCAGAGGGAACCTTTTTAAGCAAAGACAATGATATTATTGTAATTCATGTAAATGAGTTCCAGCCTAACACCTACCTGGTGCAGTACTTTAATCACCTGTGTGCTGAGCAGAGAGAGAGGAGTCAGGGTTCAGGACGCTTTATGAAGAAGAGGACGGAGACAAAGAACCGACTCCTCCTCCGTCATACAAACTAAATCTGAGATTTATGTTCCAGTCGACACACGGACTCCAGATGGTGCTGTTCACTGCGCTGGTACTCTTTTATAAAACTGGCTGAGGATGAACTTCATTTTTTGGGGGGGCGGGGTGCATCGTAGTTTCATGTCAATCACACTTTGAGCAGCCAAAAGATGCAGGAGATGCAACAAGTGTGAAGCTGTGTTTATTTAGGTAAAATGGATGTTGGCTGGTTGTCAGTTTCTCCAGGGTTGTGAAACAGCTGTTAAATGTATATTTTATCATAGCTGCGTTCTTAATCACACATTTTGTATTTGTACTTTTAGTACATACTCCATTCCCCCCTTACAAAGTACGAGCTGCTGCATGTAGTATGCATTCAACTGGCTCATTGTACGTCCTCATAACATCGCACCTTGACTCTCTTGCTTATTTATCTGCTGCGCAAAGGATTGTGGGTCAGAGTAGCCAGAAAAGTATGCCGCCTTGCACACTGCAAGTCTGTCCACGGTGGACCGGTCTCTGCTGGAGGATCTGGGTCTGTCC